CAAGTGCTTTTAAGCGTGCTCTGCCACTCACTGTCACAGCAGCCCTGTGCAATGAGTACTGCCATCCTCTCCATTCTGCAGAAGGAGAACTAAGGCTTGGAGTTTGAGCACCTTCCCCAAGATCACAGGGTCAGGAAGTGATGGATCCAGGACTTAAGTCCAGGTCTTCTGATATCAAATCTTGTGATAATAATAGTTACCAGTTATTGAGTGTATGCTTTTTCCAGGCTCTTATGGACTGACTTGTGTCCCCACCCCACCCCTCACACACACACACAAAGCCCCAACCCCCAATGTGACTGGATTTGGAGACAGGGCCTTTAAGAAGGTGATTAAGGTTAAATGAGGTCACGAGGGTGAGGCCCTGATCCAATAGAGTCAATGTTCTTATAGGAGGAAGAGACACCAGAGAGCTCCCTCTCTCCTCAAGAGCAGAGGAAAGGCCCGGGGAGGACACAGGCAGAAGACGGCCATCTACAATCCAGGAAAAGAGCTCTCTCCTGACACTGAATTTCACAGCACCTTGATTCTGGACTTCTAGCCTCCAGAACTGTGAGAAAATAAATGTGGTTTAAGCCACCTAGTCTGTGGTACTTACTCATGGCAAACCAAACAGACTACTACACAAGTTCTGTGCTAATATCTTTTCCTAGATTAGTTTATTTTGTCCTTAAAAAATTTATGCAGTAAATATTTGTATTTCCATTTTATGGAGAAGGAAGCAGAAGCTACAAGAAGTAATGTGCCCAAAGCCACACAGTCAAAGACTCCAACCTTATTCTAATGAGGTTATTCTAACCCGTAGCCTCTGGGTAGCATTGTACCTTCTGATCCCCAACTCTTACGTGGAGGAGAGGGGACAATCAGGAGAGGGAGACAGGGGACAAGGTGGGCTAATGTTCCCAGACCCATAGGTGGCCCTGCTGGTCACACACTGGCTCCCACACACACCTGACCCCTCCTCCCCCACATCCCTGACTCACTCTGCCCCAAATGGCAAGTTTCTATCCCTCCTGCCAGCCTGGCCCCCGGACCTTGCCCCAGCTAGAGATCAGGACAGTCCTCAGAGAGCGCTGAAAGCCCCAAATCAGAGATCACCTCTGCAAGGTGACACCTTGTCACCGCCCTCACACTAGAGGAGGGAAATACATATGGTTGGCAGTGAACAGATGGCCCTTCAGAGTCGGTTCTCTTGCCCACAGCTGTGACAGGTCCCTGCTGGGGAGGGAGGCCTGTAGCCTCAGGGGTGCAGCCCACCTGTTTTGGGAAGTGCAGGGAGCAGAGCTTCCTCACCACCAGCCTCGGAGCAGCTCAAAGTTATCTCCTCATCCTGCAAGGTTCCAGAAATGGGCTGAGAGGCCGCAGGACACAGGTACAGCACTTCAGAGAAGAACAAAGAGAAAGGGTCTGATTTCCAAAGGAGGGGGTCAAGGTGCTGACCTCCTCATCAGCCACCTTGCTCTCAGGCAGGTCCCCAACCAACCCACTGAGGAGGGGCACAGCGCTCCATCTCTCTTGGCCTCAGCCTCTATCTCTGTCTCTTTGACTCTCCCTTCTCTCTCTCTCTCTCTTTCTCTCTCTCTCTCTCTCTCTCATTCTCTCTGTCTCTCAGTATGTCTCTGTCTTTCTCTGTGTGTGTTCTCTCTGTATCTCTCTCACTGGGAAAGATTTCCAGAAAAAGTCTGACTAAGGCCTCCTTGGATCATACACTTTGTTCTTCTTTATGTAGAGCCTAGATCCCTCCTGCTGCGATTTCACCCTTTCTCCCCTTGTCTGCGCAGAGTAGATGAGGAAGACACTTGTCCTATTTACCTTTAATGCCTGCTCAGCACCTGCTTCTTCCTTCCAACCTCCCCCACACCAGAGAAGGGACCCCAGCACTGACCTAGGAGCCAGGAGCCGACACCCACACCGGCCAGCAGCCCCAGGGCTCCCAGCACTGCACAGCCTCGTCGCATGGAGCGCCAGCACACCACCTGAGAAACTGTGGGAAAGGACAGAGGGGTATCTGGGTCCTCTGCTCCTGCCAGCCAGCCTTACTTCACCCTAAGTCACCACCATGGGGCTAGGTACCCACAGAACTCCAACAGGACACCTCCTCCTGTCCCATCAGCCCAGATTAGGGAGGGGGTGGGGGCAGGGGAGGATGGAGAGGGCCTGACCACTGAAGCCCACAAATCCCACTCAGTCCCTAAAGTGGGAAATGGGAAGCAAAAGCAGGTCTGGGGATAAAGAGTGAGACAGCCTCTCACCATCAATCATGTGGGGCTGACCCCAAGGAGGATCCAGGAAATGTAGGATGATTGCCCTCCACTGTCCCCACCCTGTCATTCCCTTATGACCCAGTCTGGCCTACTGGGATGCTGCTGGTCTCCAGGCTCTGCTCTGAAGATCCCAGATCCTGGGCCCTCCTCTGCATACT